GTTGTTTTCCTCCGTTCCTCTTCCTTTCGATCTGCCCTGTGAGTATCAGAATTTCCAAGCCCTATTATTTTACTTTGTGTCCTAGAAATTTCAGCTATTTCTTCCTGATGTTAAGTATAAGTTTCCTTTTCGTTGGCATTTTCTCTAAGACTTCATATTTGCTAAACTCATTTATTCGGTTCATGGTATCCTCATCATCCTTCTTTAGTCCTGAGAAAAGGGAGAGCGATAAACGAAAAAAAAAAAGGTAACGTGAGCAGCGACAAAGTTTTAGAAAAAAATGGAAACCAGAAGGACACATATATAGCATCAGAAAGAGATAGTTGACATTCTTAGGGAATGTAATGAGGAAAATGGGCATAGAAAATTTAACACTCATAGGGCACATTGAATGCAAGAGGGAAGCAGTGCATGACGTGTCAAATGATCTTGTGCAAATGGATGACAGAACAAGTTTTAAGAGTGATCTCGAAAAAGAATTTCTTTTTAAACTTCTCACCCCAAGCAAGGCGAGAGTGCCACTAACACGTAAGAGGTTACAGGGGGTAGAGAACAGGAGTAAAGAGTCATGTTTGGGGAGAGGATAAAGAGAAGGATGGGGAACAAGATCAAGGTATCAGATGTCGATTGATATTACACTTGAATATTTGAAGATTATAGTTATCAGGGAAGCAAGTAAGAGGAAGATAATTCCACAGACGAGAAGTGCGAGAAAAAACTGCTTGATTGGAAGAGACGGTAACATTTAAATGTTTCAACAGTGAAAGGATGGGACCGAAATGCCATCCTAGTAGCTCGTTTAAATTCACGCAGTGTGGAAACCATAGAAAGCAACTCGTCTGAACAGTTGCCGTGAAAATACTTATAGAAGAGACAGAGGGAAGACACGGTTCGTCTGTGAGAAAGCGACTGTAGACTAGATGCCAGATCAGGACCTATCACATTGCGTATCCTCTATAGATTTTGTCGAGGACCTCGAGACTTACAGCGGGGGCACCAGACCATATATGACAGCAATATTCATTACTAAGCGTTACAAAGGAGAGGAAGTTGTAGAGCGCATTGTTCGCCAACGTCCTGACGGTTATTATATATAAACTTAGTTTGTAATAGGTTTAAATGAGTGGCAATGAAGTTTGTGTTATTTTGATATTTTTCAGTAGAAGAATTCTGCTTATTTGGAAAGAAAAAAAAAAGAATCGTTTGGAATCTGTCTCGTATCAGATCAAGTTGGAAGGAATTGAAGATCCATAATCGACTGCGCCATTATTGAAGTTGTCAAGAATTGGGGAGGATGCAAAGAGAGCAATAATCATTTGATTTTGCAAATATATTTTGAGGAAAAGAACTATGTAATAATTCTAGTGAGATGAAAGCGTATATAATGACCGACATTTTCTGAGTGTTTCAAATTTGGACTGAATAATTTTTCCGTAATAGTTTACGCGCAAATCCAGAGAGAACAAGTTTCTTCTTCGTTTATCATTCCATTTTTTGGGTTTCAATATATATATATATATATATATATATATATATATATATATATACAATACAAGAATCCGGGTTGGTTTATAGAAAAGCAATTAGAAAAGAAAAAAACATTTTTTTTCTACGTATTCATATTCCTTGGAGACGAGGAATGAATCTGATAAAATATTTATCGTTTTTTATTTGTGATAATTTTTGCTTTTTCTCCAAATAGTTTCCAGCTCTCCATAGCATTTTCTTTCAGACTATTCTCCGTAGAATCTCGTCAAGCTGATTCCAAACAGATAGCATGGCGCGTCGGGAGCTTCCTGCAGAGATTTTCTCTACAAGAATATCTGCATAAAAACTGATTTTCAAAATTCTTCAATTTAAAATGTTCGAATGAAAATCTTGGAGGGGCAGCTATTTTCAATCCTAGAGACGTAATTAGATTTTCTTTTTTTCAAAAATTTAATTGACGAAACAATTTCCATTGAACTGATTTTGTTACGAAACCTGTTTTGTGTTTTCTATTTTCAATACGTTTAAAAATATTTGGTTTAATAACTTCTGCACCGGAGTAACCAAGTCACTGGATAAAATCTCAAAAAAGTATTTAAGTGACAAATATATAGACAATGGTTGGTTACATTCAGATGATGATATACAAACATCCTGCTATACAAAGAAACAACTATAGATAAGCCGTTACGACTAGGTGTATAGATATATATGTGATACTTCGTAAAATGTCGGAGATGTTTACTCGATCAGGAAATGCCCTCGTGTCTTGTCGGATCTTCCCCCCACATCGTTTAACATCACTTTTAGATATTTATTTGCGAACATTTGCAAAACTATATAATATATGGTACAGTTCAATTTATATTACAATGAATCATCCATACAAAAAGTAGATTAGTAAAGGTAATGATATAAATGATAATGTTATTGTCTCGGATGCTACCTGAATTTTAACAAAAGCAAAATAATTTCCACGCCTGAATGTACTGAATGTACAGCTGAAAGTACTTGCGTATTAAAGAAAGACCTTATACAGCTTATAATTTTTAAAAACAAGTATCGTAACATTCATCGAGTGATTTGTAGGATAATGTACCTTTAAAAATTTGTTAACGAAGGCATTTCGCCATTTTATATCATTAACTTTACTAATCTACTTTTTGCATGAATGAATGATTCATTGTATATATATATATATATATATATATATATATATATATATATATAGGTGTGTGTGTGTGTTACAGTAAAAAAAAATCTCAGAATTAATCTGTAGATAAAGTCAATGCGTATAAAGGAAGAAAAACAATAGAAAAACTGTATGTAGTTTAACCTGACGCGTTTCGTTTACTACGCAATGTGGACCCTTTCAAAGGCAAAGCAAACGAAATGAATTTATTGAAACAAAATATCTATAACTTAAAAACAAAATGTCGTCAGTAAGTAGAAGAGTTTAGAAACGCTATTAATGTCTTAATGAATATATAGCGTTTCTAATTTTTTCTAGGTACTAAAGATTTTGTTTTTGCTTATAGATACTTTTTGTCAATAAATTCAATTCGTTTTTTTGCCTTTGAAAAAGTGTCGGCTAAACTACACCCAGTTTTCTTATTATTTTTTTTATATATATATATATATATATATATATATATATATATATATATATATATATGTATGAAGAAAAGTATACTGAAAAAACCAACAAAAATCCAATAGCAATCCAAAAGCAATACCAATCCAAACAGATAACTGAAATCTTTTATAATATCAGCGTTCCGTTTAAATATGATCAAGTCGTCACGTGGGCGATGTTTCTTTTATGTCTCTTGTCTGTTTCATGTTGAATTGTATATGGTCTATGATAATTATGTTTTATAAATATGTTCTGAAGATGGTCTATTAGACCGAAACGTCCGACGTTGATATTAAACATTAAAACAGCATAATCGCATATTAGGATTTTTGTTTGTTTTTTCAGTATATTTTTCTTCATACTGTCGGATCTATATCCATATATTTGCTTACATATATATATATGTCTGTGTGTGAGTGGGTATTAATGCTCTCAGAATATATCTACAGAGAAGAAAAATGGAATAGAATAGACAATCGGAAAATAGTACTTAGTCCTTGCTTATTCTATTCAATTTGCCTTCTCTACAGTTATATTGAGATAACTTTACAACATTGTCGACTTAGAAAACAAAACCTCACACATACTTAAGGAAAAAAAAGGAGTTATCACTACCTAAAAAGTCACTTACAGAGGAGAGACTTTCAAAATGTTTGAATTTCATGTAACTACACAACATTTCACTTCTGCTTTTCCTCACTTGCCTTGATAAAGTCGCGTGGCGAAATGCGTCGTCAAAGAATAAGTACTATTTTCAGATTGTCTATTTATCCATATATATATATATATATATATATATATATATATATATATATATATATATATATATATAATGCAGTTGAAATGCACTGAAACCAAGTTGCATCTTTGTAGTGAGTAAAATGGTTTTGTCTATATGATAAAATTATAATAAATAAATAATTATCGCTCTATTATCGGTATTGAGCCCTCTTTTGGATTAATGCTGTGAACGTTGGAATTTATATATTACTTTCGTTCTCATCGCGTCGGATATATATATATATATATATATATATATATATATAGAGAGAGAGAGAGAGAGAGAGAGAAAGAAAAAGACATAGGGATTTTATGAATTTCATAATTTGCTTCCTAAATCTGATATTTTCATGCATTGTTGATTCCTATGCCTACACTGTCTACATTTACAAAAAACTCTATATCCCATACTGACCATTCTTTCCTGAAAAAATGAACTAAGTTTTAATATATATATATATATATATATATATATATATATATATATATATATAAATGACAATAGGAAAACTGGTAATTGCTGACGCGTTTCGTCCAATGTGGATTTTATCAAACCAATTTACGAAACGCTTCAGCAATTACTAGTTTTCCTATTGTCATTTTTATTCATAAATATTGTCTTCTCTACTGGTTAAATCGGAGACATTTTCATATATATATATATATTTTCATATATATATATATATATATATATATGAATGATATATACATACATATATATATATACATATATAAATATATTAAAGACATTTTTATGTTTAACATTCTTTTTATAGATACAAGTATTTAAGTAAATTCTCTGTTTATAATAAACAGTATTAAATAACATTTACCGGCCTGAATGTCCGAGAAATTTTCATAGAAAATATTCGTCCTTTGACAGGATTCGAACCTGCATCATTTGTCCAATTCTTAATGTATGACGTCATTTGTTTATATTTGATACGCCATGAGCAGTTATGAATGTAGGAGATTCATGGAAGATTGAAGTTTATAAGCAGTAAATTCGACCTAGCCTACCGAGAGCTCCTTTGTGGCCGAGTCGGTTAAGGCTCTCAGCGTAAATGATGGTTCCGTCCATATGGATCTATCACAGGCTTTTTTAATATCTATCTATCTATCTATCTATCTATCTATCTATCTATCTATCTATCTATCTTTGTTTGTACGTATCTATCTATTGCTGTCCGTCCATATGGATCTATCACAGGCTTTTTTAATATCTATCTATCTATCTATCTATCATTACTTAGACACATTTTTTTTTTGCAAGACTGTTAAAATATTATCATATATGATATACTGGCGTTACGTAGGCTAGAAAGTAAATCGAGGAAAAAATGACAATGAAATGGTTCGATATGTGTTTCATTTTTGTTTTACTTAAATGCAAACATAACAAACTGTATATATGAAGGATCTTGCAGCCTTAGAAGAAACCTAAATTTAGATACAATTAGATACAACAGGCAAATATGTAATACAAATATAACACCTTTCAAGAAAGCAACATGGGCGTACGTTTTAAAGATTATCTTTAGACATCAAATCTCGATCATTTTTTTTTTGTGGAAGAGGAATGAACAGTTGACATTTTCTTTATTTGCTTCCATTTACCCAACTTTTGGCGTAGGCGATCCAAATCTTCCCTTTTGGATCCAAACCTCTCTGTTTATGTCTTTTACTGGTAGGCACAAAAATGAATATTGTCCCCTGTTTTCGTACATAACTAAATAATAATGTCCTATCGGGCGGGGGTGGTGGATATAGGTGCTCTGAACTCAAGGAAAGATATCGCGTTTTCTCGAATCTCCAGAAAATTAACGGATTTTAAATTCAACTGAAAAAGTATATATTGCTTAAAAGTAATATAATAATTTAATTTGCAATATTATATATTTTATTCCATTTAAATCATCGAAAACCGAAAATTAAAACTAAATATATAAAATAGAATTAAATAAATAAAAAAAACAGCAAAATAAATTAATCCAAATAAATTAATAAATAAATAAATCTTTCCTGCCCAAATAACCATTAGAATAGACTACCCACAATGCACCACTAATTATTTTATATGTCTCGCTAGAAGTATTACGACTGTAGTGAGTTCCATCTTCACTGGGTGCCCCATACATTTGTCTTTGTGCCACATTTAAGCAACGCTTGAAAAATCCCTATATATGTGTGCTTGTATGTGTGTGTGTATGTTTGTGTGTGTATGTCGGTGTGTATGTGTGTGTTCGTGTGTCTTTTTATACATATATATGCACACATCAGGCTTCTGTACGATACTGACAAGTTTTAACCAATACAACCTGCTTCCAGGTCGTGTGGTTGTCGAATAAGTCACCTGCATTAGGTTACGGTTAGGCTTCCGTTCATTTCTGAAACCTAGTCTAGTGAGGAGGGTAAGTGGACTCCCAGCATTTCAAAAAGAAAAAAAAAAGAAGCAAACTTCAATAAAAGAGTAAATAAACTTTTCAGCAACCTGCCGTTGGATTGGCGTGGTGTGTGCGGCCATACTGGCTGAAGACTTGACCAAACAGGGTGCTGGACATGGAATCGTTATTTAAACCGTGTCGCTCCCCAAGATATATTGGCTTGCTACACAAGTCGTTTAAAAATCCTTCGAGTAATTCCTCTTACGTAAATTCCATCCAGGCCTGGTGGAAGACTATCTATTTCGACATATTAGAATCTGCGTTTGAGAAAAGTTTTTATTGTCTTGAAAAAGTTTTATTTCTACGATATTTTTTTTTATTTCTTTTGCCATATGCAGTCGTCGGTATTTTAAAATTACATTGGACGCGATTGGAATTCGCTTGCAGCGTTTTCATTATTCTCTATTTAAACTCATACAGGATTGTCTGTTTTCAAGAATTTTCTTCTGTCTTCACTAACAGACTTTTTTCTTATGTACGCACATACTTATAGAAGCTAGTTACTTTGCTCGTAGCGAATCGGAATAATAAAACCCAGTATACAGACTTTATATGTTGACTGCTCAAGAGTAAGAAACCCTAGAAATTTATTCTTCGCTGTTAAAAAGAAAACAGAAGTAATTTTCTAAAAAAAAAAAAAAAAAAAATACTGTTTAAATTAAAGAAATTATTAAATCGCAAAGTATTTTTTCCAAAAAAATCACATTATTAAAATTTCATCAATTGGATTGCGAAATTGAATGAAACATAGGGTTTCAAAATCTCGTCAGAAAATATTAGCGATAACTTCAACAAGACTAAATACTGTGAGGATTTTAACACGTGCCGGCTTGTTGCAATAAGTCTAGTAGAATAATACCCACATTGTGAGCTCGCGAGGGGTTGGTTTTTAAATGGATTTAGATAGGGATATAGAGGACGGGCTTATATTACTCCCAAATGGTAACCACAGGTTAAATCGATATTAGATTCGCAAATATTACACACGGACCTGGTTTATAATTGAATCAAAGAGGTAGAAATAGGTTCGGTTTAAGTTAGAGTGTAAAAGATAAGCATGGTTTGCAGTTGAGTCTAAAACGTAAATCTTTCTTTTTATGTGCCATGTCCTTTCAGGGCGTAGGCGATCATGGCTCTCCACTTCCTCCATCCCTTGCTGCTCTCAACAAGTTCCTTCCCACTGCTTCCTCCCTCAAACCACGTTCTGTCATCCACTTACCGTCAGATATATCACACATTGTTTTGTCCTTTTCTCTCTTTCCCTCTATTCGACTCGTGAGTATTAGATTCTCCAGTCCTTCCTTCTTTCTTTCTATTTATGTGCCATGTCCTTTCAGGACGTAGGCGATGATAGCTCTCCACCTCCCTCCATCCATTGCTGCACTCAACAAGTTCCTTCCCTTTGCTTCCTCCCCCAGACCGCGTTCTGTCATACACTTACTTAAGCCCGCCAGGTATGTCACGCATTGTTTTCGTTTGTCTCTCTTTCCACCTATTCAACCCGTGAGTATCAGATTCTCCATTCCCTCCTTCCTCATTATGTGTCCCAGAAGCCTCAGCTGCCTCTTCCTGATATTAAGTATAAGCCTCCTCATTGTTTTGCATCCTCTCTAAGAGCTCATTGTTGCTCACATGCTCGGGCCATGATATCCTCAGCATCCTTCTGTAGAACCACATCTCTGTCGCCTCGTGTCTCTTCTTCATCTTTAAGGAAATCGTCCAACATTCGCTGCCGTAAAAGAGGAGAGATGTCACGTAACAGCTCAGTATTCTTTTCTTTGTTATCAAAGAAAGTTCCTTAGAGTAACAAAAACAGGAAGTTGTGGAGAGCCATAATCACTTACGCCCAGTATGGATATAGAACATAAACGAAGAAGAATCATATAGGTGACTGGATAAGAGGAATAGTGATGGATCAAAAGTTCCTTCTTTTCTTTTTATGTGCCATGTCCTTTTAGGACGTAGGCGATCATAGCTCTCCACCTCCCTCTATCCCTTGCAACTCTCAACAAGTTCCTTCCCTCTGCTTCCGCACCCCCTCCAGACCATGTTCTGTCATCCACCTGCTCAAGCGCGCCGGGTATGTCACGCGCTGCTTACCCTTGTTTCTCTTTCCCTCTATTCGACCCGTGAGTATCAGATTCTCCAGGCCTTCCTTCCTCATTATGTGTCCCAGAAACTTCAGCTGCCTCTTTCTGATTTTAAGTATAAGCCTTCTCCTTGTTTCCAACCTCTCTAAGAACACATCGTTGGCCACATGCACGTCTCCAGTTTACATTAGAAACAATAAGATAAACAGGCCCAGTTTGCAAATATCTCATTCGAAAGGTGGTAATTTGGATGTGTTCTGATGTCTATGGATTACAGTGATTGATTTGTTTTTTTTTTTTTTACGGTTTATCAACATGTTGCAATTTATACTGATCCTAACACAAAATCAATTAAAACAGACAAATAATGATGAAAATTAATTTAGATACATTTATGTATATAATTAGATATAACAGGCAAATATGTAATACAAATATAACACCTTTCAAGAAAGCAACATGGGCGTACGTTTTAAAGATTATCTTTAGACATCAAATCTTGACTTTGTTTTTTTGTGGAAGAGGAATGAACAGTTGACATTTTCTTTATTTGCTTCCATTTACCCAACTTTTGGCGTAGGCGACCCAAATCTTCCCTTTTGGATCCAAACCTCTCTGTTTATGTCTTTTACTGGTCGACATAAAAAATGAATATTGCCTCCTGTTTTCGTACATAACTAAATAATAATGTCCTATCGGGCGTGGGGGGGTATAGGTGCTCTGAACTCAAGGAAAGATGACGCGTTTTATCAAATCTCCAGAAAATTAACGGATTTTAAATTCAACTGAAAAAAGTATATATTGCTTAAAAGTAATATAATAATTTAATTTGCAATATTATATATTTTATTACATTTAAATCATCGAAAACAGAAAATTAAATATAAAATATATATATATATATATATATATATATATATATATATATATAATAGAAATAAATAAATAAAAACACTAGCAAAATAAATTAATCCAAATAAATTAATAAATAAATAAATCACTCCCGACAAAATAACCATTAGAATAGACTACCCACAATGCACCACTAATTATTTATATGTCTCGCTAGAACAATTACGACTGAGTAGTGAGTTCCATCCTCACTGGGTGCCCCATACTTTTGTCCATGTGCAACATGTAAGCCACGCTTGGAAAATCCGAATGTGGGTATACTGATCCTAAGAGGAAATCAGTTATTAAAACAGACAAATTAGGATGGCCGAAAGTTAAGACGAAGTAAAATCTGGATGGATAGCAACCAATGTGGTCATACCGATCCTAACAGGAAAGTTAGTATTTCCATCGGAATAAGCGATGTACTTCCATTATCTTTTGCAGGAAGCATTCGAGATGAAACATAAAAAAGTACAGATTGTAAATTTATTGGAAAGTTGTTGCACAGGCATCCCCATTCGCTGCCAATTGTAAAAACGATAGGCCAAACATGGTGTTTTTTTTTCTCTATAGTAAATAAAATAATCATAAAAAAAAACAAAAAAAGAAAAATAATTATCAGCTTCTGTCTCTTTGATTTGATTTCACAACGATAAAAATTAAGTCAATTTCCTTTTAACTTTGTTTAATGCAGTTGTGGACATTAAATTCAATTCAGCTGACGATTATATGTGCGGCTGTCGTCACTCTGAGATGTCTTCATTTCTATCTCTTTTATGATGTGTCGACGCCCAAGAAGCGATCAGAAGCTGACTCAGAAGTGATAAACATTCCATCTACCAACTTCTTTCTGGTTTCCCAATTATGGTTTATGTTACAGAGACGAGATGAACTATACGATTCGATGATCCTTGCATCTTAATTTCACTCCTCAGTGACGACTTAACGATCGTCAATCTTTCTGTTCAATTAGGTATTCGAACCGGAGTTAATCTAATTACAGGGAGACTCAACGGAGTCAACAACATGAAAATACGCGAGGAGATTGTCCAGTCAACTTTTGACTTTCTCTTTTAAAAAAAAAAAGAACTGACAGAGTTTGGATATATAACAAGGAAACGATTGCAGATTATTCGTCAAGCAGGCACTTAAGACCCAGGTTCACAATGAAATATAAATTTTATATATATATATATATATATATATATATATATATATATATATATATATATGAAGAAAGGACAGTAAGATATATAATCCGGTGTTCTTATCGATATTTTTATTATTAAAAATAGTTCTCAATGTAAATAGAGATTAAAATATGCTTTTTCGCTACACAGTAATAACCATGTTTCAAAAATGGAAGCTAAAAGCTTCAAATTTAATTTTGTAATTAAATTAAAAACATTAGTTTCATTTCATCCTCAAGCGAATTTTGGACTAACTTATTTTTTTAAAATTTACTGAGTTTTAAAGACACAGAAAATTCATATTTCAGCTGTTTCCAAGGTAGCGTGTTCATTTTTATTAACTTTTGTTGTATCAGTTATTAGTTACGTTCGAAAAAGAGGTTATGTTTAGTTTCAATGTTTATGTTTCAATGTTCACTTTTATATTATATTATATTATATATACATACATACATACATACATATATATATATATATATATATATATATATATATATATATATATATATAACATAATATAATATAATATAAAAGTGAATATTGCAGTCAATTACTACAGACGACAGGCTGTTTCATGCTATAAGCAATCATCAGGCCTGACGATTGTGTCTATCATGAAACAGTCTGTCGCCTCTAAGTTTTGACTTCAATGTTCATTTTTATGTTTTATATTTGCATACGCTCTATCTCTGATATTGAGCACTTTATCCAAGTTGAGCTAGTTAGATGTAGCCGTAAGTCCTATGCTAACAATTTTTTTCTCGCACTTATCACTTGTGGAAATCCCTTCTGGCTTCATGATTTCCAGCCAACTTTAATCTGCTAAAATTTAAATGCAATATCAATCAATATCTACTGTCCTCCTTATTACTGTTTTTTCCTTTCCCGCTCATTAGTAATGTTTCTGTTTATAATTCTTCCGCATCAAATAACCCTTGTGTCTTTGTGGCTTTACTGCCTTTCTTGGGTTGAAATCGTTTAAAATACATCTCTCAAGCTCGCTAGATATGTTATGTGCTGTTTTACTCTGTCCCTCTTGAATTTCAATTTGTCCTTTGCGTATCAAATTTTCCAAACCCTCTTTTCGTCTTTAGCTGTCCTAGAAATTTCAGCTGTCTCTTCCTAATCTTTACTTTTTATTTCGATTTTTTTTAAACTTCATCATTGCTAAAACATGTTTGGTTTATGGTATTCTCATCATCCTTCTGTAGAACAATATTTCTTTTGCTTCACGTCTCTTTATTTGGCTGTAGATTTTCCAGCGTTCTCTGCCATATAGCAGAACTGATAATACGTAGCAACTCAGTAGTCTTTTCTTTGTTTCTAACGAAACTTTTCCTGCCTCTTAATATTTTGCTTAGCATCTGGAAGGCATCTTCATCTATCCCAAATGCGCCTTCAGATTTCCGTGTCGCACTTTTCGGACTCTGTTAAAATTTTTCTCATATATTTAATTGATGTGCATGTTTTATTTTGGCATCTCCAATTTGTAATTTGCATGTTAGGCTGTTCCTTTTGCTAACAACCATGCATTCCGTCTTCTTGCAATTGATGATTATTTCTTTCTTAAGGCAGTGCAGAACGTTCAGAGGGAAATTAACAGGAGATAACAGATAACTGACAACCATTAAAATATGGCACGTTGAACTAGAACAGTCTACCCCAGTGAGCAAAATATAGAGTTAAGTTCAACATTCCAACCACCTGCAGAAAGCCGGAGCGTTCAACGGCCAAAACTAAAATGTAATAAATATGGCGACAAAGATGAGGACAGTAGTCCAAATAATGTAAATAATGTGCATAATACCTCATCTCAGAAATATAGCCAGATAAAAAATAGTAATTAGTAAAATTAGTTAATGCACTTATTTTTATTAAAATTATCGTTTAAAACCCCCCTGTCTCTTATATGGAATATGTAGGTTTAGTAATTTTACTAATTACTTATTTTTTCTTGATTTGCCATGCTGAAATTGGGGTGCGTCTTATACACTCGTGCGTCTTATATGCCGTCAAATAAGGTACCTATTTTTGAAACAAGTAAATGCTTATATAATCAACTACAAACCACTAATCTTTACCAATTCCCAAACAAAATAAATACTTGACTCGAATAGAAACGACTATTCTTCAGCTATTCACGAACCAAGGCTTTTCGACTCAAATTTGTGAGTAACACGTTAAATAAAAAAAAGAAAAAATCACCCTTAAACGGCTTAAATAGATTTCGCACCGTTGCGATTGGCTGTTGGTCAATCTCCAATCAAATGTGTGATAACGGGGTATATTTATAGAAGTCAGTGTCTACAAGCAGTTTTAGAGGATGTTTCATAGTCTGATCAGCTCTGAGGGGGGTCGTTTTGGTGAGGTCAGTATGAGGTTTGAAAGACCCGAAACTGCCCATTGATCCATCTCCAGAACATCACTGACAAGAGCCTCTAGCGCTAAAAGAGCGTATATTCAAAGCAACACTTCGCTTGGCTTTTCGGGAGTTATTTTTAGTTATCCAAATGCGACGTCGAATTTTGCATTTTAAACCAATTGTCATCGACGAAGAAATTCTCCAGCATTTACTATTGGTTTATTTGGAAAATATATTTGATTGGTTGATTTGATTTGTTTTTACGGTTTATGAAGATTTTGCAGAAAGCATTTTTAGATCGTAAGAATTTTGTGGGGACATAATGATTTACTAATAATTAACCCATTGTTGGAGGGAGAAGAGGTGGATTTATGCATTTTCCAAGGGCATTGCACGGAAGTGAATATAACGAGCCAGACTGGAATTGGAATTTGATTCTCCAATTTCTCCTTCCAAACCGTTATCTATTACACACCTTCACATCCAAGCTTAGAGCACTACACATTCCCAAGCGATTACCCCTCTAGGTACTGACCAAGCTCATTGTTGCTTAACTTCGGGGGACGCAGGAGAACCATTGTTTCAACGTGATACGGTCATAAACTGGGAAGTATATTAGAATAGAACTTATACTGAGAGCAATCCGCCCGCATGAGGATAGAAAATGAATTCGAAAATCGAAAAGGTCGTAAGACAAGGAGGTATCTTCTCACCAGACTTATTCAACCTTTGCAGTGAATGAATCCTGAGAGAATTAGAAATTATATCAGGATTCATTATTGACGGCTACAGTATTAACAACATTAGATGTGAATATCTCACAGTCTTAATAGCAGAAAGGAAAAAAAAAATCTATATGAACTCCAACAGAATATAATAAAGGAAAGCGAGAAGAAAGGACTAAGCATCAACTGTGAAGAAATAGAACAGCATATGAAGAAATTCGAGATACAAAAATTTAAATATTTAAGAAGTGTTGTAACACAGGATGGACACTGAAATACTTAGGGGCATTGGGATAGCCAAAGATGCCTTCCAAATATTAAGCAACGTATTAAGAAACAGGAAAAACTAATTAGACACAAAGGTACTCAGCTGTTATGTAAGATCAGTCCTCCTATAAGGTAGTGAATATATGACAATCTCATCACAGATGAAGAAGATCCTTGCGACAACAGAAATCTGGTTCTACAGGAGGATGGTGAGAATACCATGAATTGAACATCTGAGCACCGACAAAGTTTGAGGGGAAAATGGAAACACGATAACACTTATACGTAGCATTAGAAAGAGACAGTTAATATTTCTATGGCATATAATGAGGAAAGGAGGCATGGAAAATCTGGCACACACATGATATATTGAAGGAAAGATAGACAGAGCATAACCTACTTAGTGAGCTTATATAGGAGATATAACAAAAAGACAAACTTTACTTGGGTTATAAAGGATAGGATGTTGTGGAGCGCCATAATCACCTACACCCTGAAGGGACACGGTACATAGAAGAAGTTCAGCAATCCTTTTTTTTGTTTCTAACAAGTCCGTTGAGAATTGATTGATTTGCATTTTTTACGGCTTATCAACCCCTTCAGTGTTCAGAAAAGAATTAAAAATTCGATTGCAAGTCTCGGTGTCGACATGAGAATGTTATTTTAGAAATAGCAGAATGTGGCATCGCTTTGATCGCCAAACTTTTGTCGTGACACCCTCATCGAAATCAAATGAATTCTATCTCAAAGCTGCTGGATAACACAACCCATTGAATTTCCTATGACACACGGACAAAATGAGAGAAATGGAAGAGATGGAGAAAAAGAAGTGTGGGATAAAGAGAGTGAAGGAAAGAAAGAGCAGAAAGACAGAGAGAGTAAAATAAAAAAGCGAGGCGTAGAACGATAGAGATGGAGAAAGAGAGGGAAGGGAATGGAGTGGAAAGACTGTGAAAGAGAAGGAGAGTTAGAAGATGAGAGAGAACTAGAATGAAAGACAAGAACATAGAAGTAAAGAGAAAGAAAGGGAAAGATAGGAGGAAGGAGAGAACGAGGAAAAAGGAAGAAATGGGATGTGGGGAGAGACAAAAGGACAGAGAGAGGGGGGAGAAGGGAATAATGGGGAAAAAGACAGATAGTGAAAAAGAAAGAGAAAAGGAGACATGAAAATATCGAGAGAGACAAAAAAATTAAGGAAAGAAGAAAGAGAAAGACATTGGAAATATAAGAAGGCGAAAAAGAGAGAAAACGCGAGAAAGGGAGAAAATGGATATTAGTGGAAGTGGGAGGGAATGAAAGAAAGAGAATAGATGGAGGAAGGTAATAAATGGGAGAGAGACAAAGAAGGAAGGGAGGCGAACAAGAACGAGAGGGAGAGAAAAAGAAAAAGATAGAAGAGAAGAAACAGAAAGAAATGGAGAGAAAATGAGAAAAACAGAGAAAGAGGATGTGGGGGAAAGAGAGAAAGAAAGAGAGAAGGAGATAGCGAGAGGCAGGGTGATAGAGAAAACTGAGAGAGTCAGCTGAAGAGAGGCACAGAGATAAAGAGGTAGGGAATGTCTTATCATTTAACATAGGTACCTCCACGAAATTTACTACAAAAACATATAGCATGAAAAAAAAAACGATGTAATAAATTTTATCGGCTTAAATATATATATCATTCTTAAGAAGAAACACCAAAGTATTTTTTGATTATTTTAAAATTTTTACTCATTCTTATCAGGTCCGAAATTTTATTTAAAAATGTTGTTTATTTCTGTCATCAAAATTACTTAAAAAAGTAGCTATCAGCCATTTTTTTTCTAATTTTGTAAACAAGTTAAAAATCCTCGTTTATTTTTGGTATAATTATACCAAAAATCAATTCTACAATTTTCAAAATTTATTTGACTAAAATTAGCAAATTTAAAGATTAGTTAAAATATTTTGAAAGAAGCTTTTACTTACTTTTTCGAATAAAAAATTGTTCGAAATAAAAAGTAAAGGGATCTGAACTGTGTTGTCATTTCTCGAGTGACAAGTGATACCTGTCATCACATATCGACAGCTCACGTGAGATTCGCGTTATCATACAGATGGTCATACGTGACGTAACGTTTTTTGTTTTTTTGTGAATCAGCTTATGTACCCCGTAATTAGTAGATAATAAAAAACAAAAAAATTAGCATTCCAATTTCTTTTATTTTGTTATTTTATTATTACTGGAACTTAAAACATAACTTTGTTGATACTATCTATTGTTACGAGGATGCATTTCTATAATAAAGGGATTCCTTTGAGTTCTACTTGTTATTACAAAAAGTTTTCATTCATGAAGTAGTTGTAAAATAGAGAAATTAGAAATAGAATGTTTGGAAGATTCTAGATCATTCTAGTATATTCGAGAAAAAATCTAGAAATATGCAAATTAGGTGTTAGCCCTTATAAAAATGGGATTTTGGAAAAGGGTTGTCAATGCTGTCAGTATCAACTCCGGCTTTTGATTCAAGGACTATTATATCCAGCCGAAAGAATCTCTATAAAAAGTTGCCCACCAACCAAAACCCAAAAGAGAATTTCATGGAACAAAGTTGGTAAATAGAATTTTGACTAATTTTCATTGACCAAACTAAAAATTAATATTTATTTACACACCTTTGTGGATTTCCAAATATAGAACTTAGATTATTTCACTAGCCCGAAAGTGATAAAGTGATTTGACTCCCTTTCCTTCTCCCTCGTAACACTTGCCAGTAACTCTGTGTTTTCTGTTTTGTAGGCTACAATTGTTTATCCTGTATATGTTTTGTTCTGTTTTAGTAAATTAAATATTTGTTTGTGATTTAGCTCTGTGTTGTGGTAAATCATTTTTTTTCCTTTGTTACAATTATCAACACGTAACACTAGAGATAATAAATACTATAAATAATGAAATCTACGCTTACACTCAAGCCACGTGACCTTCCGTACTTTTTAATGACAACCCATTTAAGCGCTTTTTATCAAAACATAATTACATTTTTTCATTAGTGGGTGTCATCGGATGGGTCCAAATTATACAATTTTCAAATCCCTAGACAATGACGAGCTAAGAAAGAGAAGTACAAAGGTTGATGGTGCTGTTATTTATTTTTATAATTTTTTTAAAAATTTAATGAAAAAGTGTTAAAATTTCGATTTAAAATTAAAGAAATGAGAAATAATTGTATTAAAAATTCAATTTTCATTGAAAAAATTGTTTGCTTTCAGAAAATATTGTCCATATTCATACGAACAAATAAAAACAAATAAAAGCGTTTGAAATTAAATAGTATATTTGTTTTTTTTATTGAGTTTTGTTATTTTTTTATGTTACAATTCAGAGCTGATTTTTCAGGTAATGGGTTCATTAAAAAAAAAAAAACAAAACATGATTTACATTCTTCAAAGCCTTGTGCTTTAAATATTGTAATCACTAAAAACCGATGGTATGGAATTTTTTGAGTTTTTCATAAAATTATATATGGGGGTGTTAATAAAAATAAAAAAAAATATTTCTGCCATGACTTTAATAAAAAAAAACATATTCATAATAATTTCGATCATCTGTGAATATTTTCTGAAAGTTTCATTAACATCTGACAATTATTTTTATTTTTACAAGATTTTCCAAATTAATAGGTATAAATACCAAAAAAACGCGCTAAAAATTATCTATGTTATTTAGTATCCCTTTTGCAAAAAAAAGATAAACAAGGTTTTTAAATCAAAATTTAGAATATTCTAAAAGATGGAAAAATTTTGAAAAATAATTAAAAAAATTGGTCTATCCTCTTCAAAAAACATAAGCATTTTGACGATAAAATTTTGTTTTCGTAAATTTTGGCGTCTTTTTCATCAGAACTATGCTCTATTTTTTTGCAATTTCGTGGAGATACCTAATTTAACATGATATAACTCTTAATTTTTTTCGTAGCGTTATTCATAATTCTCAAGATGGCTGAATTAACTCCAGGAGACACTGGAATTTTTTTGGCAAATATTTTCTTTCCCGACACAATAGTCTTTCTAAGGAATCACAGATCAAAGGAATAAATTCGCGATCTTTATAAAAAAACTGTTTTTTACAATGCGGATTTAATATATATATATATATATATATATATATATATATATATATATATATATATAAAAAATATACTCATAAAGTGTGCTATATTTAGATAATAGATAAAATAAAGTGCTCAATATCAGAGATAGAAGCAGTGTAAATATAAAAGTGAACATTGAAGTCAACACTTAGAGGCGAAAGTCTGTTTCATGCTAGACCCAATCGTCATAGCTACAACTGTTATATAACGATAAAAAAATAATACTACATTACTTAAAAATCGAAAACTGAAAAGACTAAATAAAAATAAACAGTATAATAAATAAATAAAAACAAATAAAATAAATTAATCCAAATAAATGCACAAACTAACAAACCGATCCCGATAAATTAACCGTTAGAAAAAACAAGTAAAGATAATCAATCCTAATAAATAAATGAAGTAATAAAGAAATCAAAAACTGCTCCCGCCAAAATAATAGTCAGAATAAACTACAGCAATCAATCCCAACCCAATATTGAATAAGTACCTTTAATTATCATACAAAACCAAAACAAGACTATTAAATAAGCTATATATATATATATATATATATATATATATATATATATACATATATATATATATGCAATTAAATACTGGAATTGCACTGATAATGATGAATTATGACCTCACTTTGTGTGTTTTGTGTTGTTGCTTTTTTTTGCAAGCGGTTCCAAGTGCTCTAGTCCTACGGAAACAATATAAACTTTAATAACCTTCTGTAACATTGATGACAGCGTCATATGGACCAATTGTTTTTGTATTATGTAAAGAGAGGTAAGACTATTTTGGAAATCTTGAAAATTCGTTCTTCAAAAAACGGAGAGTCAAAAGGACGGTTTTTCCCTTGACACCGCTATTATCTTAACTACCTTCACTCCTCGGAAATGTTTATGGCTTTAAAAAGATATTATTAGAATTGCGACAGAACCTAAAAATTGGCTTTATATGCACTGAGACAGAGAGAAAATAGTCAGAGAAATGAGTGAGAGAAAGAAGGAATAGAAGGAGAAGGAAAATAGAAAGAGGGAAAAGGGAGCAGGACAAATAAAGTGGGAGGAGGAAAGAATGAAAGGGTGAGAGAAATGAGAAGCCGAGGAGGAGAGGTGAGAGATGAAAAGCGGAGGAAAAATGAGAAGGGGAAAGAGAGAATGACGGGAGGAAGAGTAGGAGAAATGAGAGGACGAGGAGGAGAGGTGAGAGATGAAAAGCGGAGGAAAAATGAGAAGGGGAAAGAGAGAAGGACGGGAGGAAGAGTAGAAGAAATGAGAGGACGAGGAGGAGAGGTGAGAGATGAAAAGCGGAGGAAAAATGAGAAGGAGAAAGAGAGAAGGACGGGAGGAAGAGTAGAAGAAATGAGAGGACGAGGAGGAGAGGTGAGAGATGAAAAGCGGAGGAAAAATGAGAAGGGGAAAGAGAGAAGGACGGGAGGAAGAGTAGGAGAAAAGAGAGGACGAGGAGGAGAGTTGTAAGTTGAAAAGAGGAGGAGGATGAGGAGGGATGAAAAAGAAAGCGAGAATAGAAATACGAGGAGAAGGAGAAGGAAATAAGAAAAAAGGCAGTAGGAGGAGAAATGAGAGAAGTAGGAGGAAATGCAAGATAGGAGAGGGATAATATGAATAAAAGTAGGAGGGAAATGCGAGCATTAATTTTCCATTAGAAAAATCCTGAATTTGTAAGAAAGTTTACCGGAAGAGGCAAGAAAAAAAAATATTAAACTGATTTTGAAAAAAAGAAAATGATTAAAAAAAATTATGTTCTAAGTTTGAAAAAAATAAAAACCTCGCAAAAGACACCAAAGAAAAATAAATATTAAATAACAATAATAATAATAATGATAATAAATCGGCTAATATACCCCACCCTCCCCGCGATCTCAGACGACTATTTGACAGACTGTCAGGCTGAAGTTTCATTTTTGACGATCAGATCATAATATACTGGGTGTGATGGGTAAATTGACGCGATTTTGTATGTTTAACTTCGCGCATGCGCGTTGTTTGATTTTTTATTATTTTGTCGCCTGCACAGTATAGTGGGTTCAGATGGGCACCGTCTGTGAGAAAAAGAGCACCATGACACAATTCACTCCACCAGAAAGTTGGAAACGACATGCTGTACTGCTTGGCATTAGCGCCGGAAGCTGCAATACGCACATTTCAGAATGTTTGAATGTCTGAGGACAGTGTAGAGGATTCAGAAAGAGTTGGGTAAGTTTTATGGTGCTTATGAAGATGTTTAAAGTGATAGTTAGTGGTGGCAACGTTATGCCTCCATTTGTCTCCTCACAGGACTCAACACGGAGACCTACATCAAGTGACTTGCGTAAGTAATGCTGCCCTGGTTCAAGGAAGTAACTACTGCAAGATCCTACGTCTGGCAACAGCATTCTGTACCATGACACAGAAGCAAGAGAACCCAGTCATGGCTGTCAGTAATTTCTGCAACCATATCAACTCT